ACACAAAAGAAATATTAATAATAAATAATCCCAATATTATTAATAATATGGAGAAGGTTACATATGGGATCAGCCAAAAGGTGGTCCTTCTCTATTGTTCTTTGCTAAAGGATCAGGCGGCCATGCTGGAGAAGGGGCGCAGCTTATTGGAGCACTGCTTGGAACAACTGTGTCGACGGGTATTACAAGCTGTCGTCCATTTTTGTACGAGTGGATGATGGAGCCTGTGTTGAGCTTAAAAGCTAAACGGAAGAAGTAATCCGGATTTTCAAGGATGAAATGTTTATGCAGGTCCTTTTTTGTGACTGAACCGTTCTGAACCTCAGCTTGCTGCTGAATGGTTCCGATAGGGTCAGGAACTGAGCTGCTGGTTTTTCCAGATATTGTAATTTGTATTAAGGGCAGGGGTACCCCTTGTACTCCATGAAATACAAATCTTTTTGCTGTGCAAAAAAAAAAAAGGTTACATATGGGATCGTAGACAATGCAGTAGAGTTTTCCAGGCACATGTGCTGGACATTTTTAGATAAGATGCAATAAGGCATACTGAAACTTGTGAGAAGTTAATTAAGCTTGGAAAAGATTTGATGGAGCCTCAGTTGAGGCATCTCCAACAAATCCCAATTAGTTGACAAGAGTACAGACTCTTGCATCCTTGTATATTTTGCCAGGTCTACAGAAATATCCTTTGTTTGGAGCACAATGAATATCTTGTGAGCAGATACAAAGCCCTTCCAAGGTACACCCCTCTTTGACAATGCTCAACCCATCTTTTAACCCAAGCATTTGGTCGGTCCACTCGCTCGAAAACAAACCTGATGGGTCGTACGCCTCTTTCACCTTCAAGAACTCTGTTACATTTCTGTATTTCTTGAACACACCATCGAATGCAATGTTCCTATTCTTCCCCCAGTGTGGAAGACCTCCATACTTGAACACTGCCATTTGCTCTATCTCTTCCGGAATATCTTCGTAAAGCCTGGGAGTCAGTGGATCTTTGCTCCGGTAATAGGTGATATCAAAGTCTAATGCATCCTCTTGATTGCCCAAGTAAGCACTTGAAGCTTTAACATAACGCATGAGGATTCCATTCGTAGAGTTCTAGTCCACAGAGTGACTTCGGTTCCAAGGCAACCAGGCTTTGTACGTCTTCAGTGAAGCTCTGAACTACGGACAAACTGATTTCGAAGATAATTTGGTGAAAAAACTCACATTTTATTCTTGAGTCCCAAGGACACGCAGTAATTAATCCTTCTCAGGATTATTGACTCAGCTTGAAGATGATTGGAGGCGGTTCTGATATTCAATTACTGGATAACCAGTGAAGATAATATCTAATAAGATAAAAAAATAAACAAATGTTAAGCCTTGTTTTTATAGAAGTCTTTTTTTATATAAACAAAAAAAAAAGTTTTACAATTCAATTCAATTATTAAATCATGAGCGTTGGCCCTTAATAAGAAAGTAAACTTTTTAATTAAATTATTGGTATTATATGATTATATATAATTTAAATTACAAAACACCAAACTAAAATAAAAGATACCATTGTTTGTTAGTCCGTATGCAATTGCTCCAAGGATCGTGGTGGTTAGCCCTGCAGAAACGCAATTCATTTCATCCAAACAATTGGATTCTTGGGTTTCCTCTAAAAATTAAACAAACATTATTTGTCAATTATAACAAATCTTGGCAGCTGGTAAGAAGTAAACTAAAACACATCTCAATTCCAAAACCTGTAGTTCTAATACTTTCGGCTACAAGTGAAAGTGTGTCGCGGAATCCGGTGAAGTCATACAGACCTTCTCCAGAAACATCCGGAGAAACACGATCGTCAACTCGATACACAACCTGGCGTTGACTAGGGTACCATGACATATCTGCAAACTCATGCTGCTTACCAAAACTAACTGCTTGATCTCCCAAGTCCATGTCAATCTTCTTCACATAGGTAATGGATCGCTTGAACATGGGTTCCAATTTCAAAGTCACCTAGAAAAGGAAAAGGGTAACAAATTTTTAGTCACCAAGCTATATATTAATATAACTGAGTACTCCTTGTTCTTAATTAATCAATTAATAAATTTTATTTAAAAAAATAATAATGGAGCTTTTATTTTTTTTCCTTGGTAAAGGAGTGTCTCTAAAAATATTTTAAATCAACTTGTGTGTGCCATATTAAGTTAATTTCATTAATTGAATCTAAAGATTTACCAGTTATAATCTAATATTAAATTTAAATAATTCATAAAAAATTAACACATAGTAAATTTTGTATGTATCTGGGAAACAACTCCAAGAACTCGTAGAGAAACTTTAGCTGCATTCAGATCCTCGTGACTCTCATTCAGATCCTCGTGACTCTCATTCAGAATCCGGATCTTGGCATAACCTTCATCAGGCCCTCCTGGACTAACAATTCTCATAGCTATAACGTAATCATGAACTGCACTTCCCTTGCCTCACAAGGAGCTGCCATGAGACCCCGTGCTCAGGATGCCCCCAATGGTGGAGCCAGACCAGTAGGGAGCGTGCGGTAATGCAAGTCCTGCCTTGGCTGCCTCCTCGATTAGCTGACTCAAGGCCATTCCACTCTCCACTGTCATTGTCATTGCTGCAGCATCTACATTTACTACATGGTTGAGATATTTGGTGCTAATAAGCAACCCATCGACACCGTCAGGGCAGGCGAGTTTGGGGATGCTGTGAGCAAAACTAGTCACCACCTTCATCTTCTTGCCGGCCTTGGTTGCAGCGGATACAATGGAAACGATCTCCTCTTCGGTGCCTGGGTGGGCCACGTTCCCAGCTCGACAGGTGCTGCGACCAGGGAACATGCCATAACAGTTGGTGATGGTGCAGTCGGAGTCTTTTGATGAGCATTTGACTG